TCAGCACCGGAATGAGCATTGCTCCCTCGCGCAGAGCGCCACATTCTTCTGGCAATACGCGTCTCCGGACTTTCTGGCATTGCCACCGGGGTCTTAGGGAAGAATCTAGATGTGGCTTCGCCAAGGAGGCGATCCCATGACGCCGGCTGCATGTCCGGGGTTAGACGTGTTTTGACCCACTCGAGCATTTGCTGAGCTGGCAGCGTGTTGTCCCTAACAGCCGCTTGCAGGGCAGCGGCGTCGAACTGATGTGTCTGTATCTGAGGGGGCGGCAAATTCCAGTGCCGTACTGGCTTGACAGTCGCACTGATGGGCAGGTGCCCCCTTTTTCTTCCAGCTGCCTAGCGGAAAAGCCGCCAGTGGCGTGGAAGCCTTGGCAGTGCCTCCTGCTGACACCTCCCTCGTAAGCACAAAGTCAATTTGAGTGCGCGTGTCCCCTTGTTGGAACGTAAATGGCGGCTGAGGTCGCCACGTGTTGAGAGCCACCAAGCGGTGATTGAGCAAAAAGTTTGTTAGCTCTGGTTCATCAGGTCGCGGTTCCTGTGGACTGATGAGCTCAGGACCGACCAGCCTGGGCTGCTTTTGCAAGGAGCTATTGAAGTCCCCTGCTATGATGAGCGTGTCTCTGTGTGGCACGCGTTGCACACATCTGCCAAGAGCTTTCAGGATTTGTGCCCTGTCCTGACGATTGACCTGCACCTGTTTGGCCGGTGACCAGACGTGTTGATACACGGCAATCACATGGATACGGGCCCCGTGCCAGTCGAACCTGACTTCCAGGGCTCTGCCTATGACATGCTCCTGCCAGCGCACACCTTTAGGGAGAATGTGTGGGGACAGGAAGACCATGACCCCGTCCGCGCGGGTCGTCGAGGGCTCCTTTCGGGCCGGATTTGTTTTGATGTCATTAGGCATTGCCTCTGCGGGTGGCTGTTTATGGGCCTTGCCCCCGCTTTGCTTGCGTCTAGAGGCCTTCGGATCTGCAGCGGAGGCAGACGAGATGCAGTACCAGCCTGCAACACTAAATTCGGCCGTAGCCTGCCAGTGGGTCTCCTGCAGCACAAAAACATCACAGGTGTGACGTGCCTCAGTGGAGAGCCATGATTTGACTTCAGACCATTGTTGCTGGCCTAGATGGCCTGCATTCCAAGACAGTACTCGGAGAGGCCTGGTGGCCTGTCCTGCTCTAGATCGTAGTGCAAAAGACTGTGTGGAACCTGGCCGTGGTGGGCAGTTGCCCATGCGCCTTAGAAGAGCTGGGGTCAGAACCTGACCTCGGTAGGAAACGGGCTGCTGGTTTGCAACCACCTTTCGGCAAACATGCTTGAAAGAATTCTTCCTGATCTGAGAATAATTTTGTGAGTGCACTGGGAGCAGCGCCATCCGCTATTTCGTCACAAGGCAAGCCGAGTGACTCCCTCCACCACGCGGTTAGTGGAAACCCTACCGCCTGCCCAGTGGGCCCGTGTTGAGACAGGGTACTGGGTCCAGGAATTGGGACCTGGCGGCTCAGACGCAAACTGTTGGCACATGGCACATGGCTCAGAGTGAGGAACCAACCCTTAGTCGTTCGGAGAGAGGCCTGTTTGAGACCTCTAGCAACGCAAGGTTGGAATCTGGAGCCTGTTCGAAAGCCAGCGCGAAACTTCCAAAACGTCTGAGCCGTGGCGGCTACTACCACCACTACTACTACTGCTACTACTACTACTACTACGACTACGACTAGGACAGCTGCTGCTACTACTGCTACTACTACTACTACTACTACTACTACTTGCTACTACCACCACCACCACCACCACCACCACGACTACCACCACCACTACTACCACCACCCTACTACTACCACCACCTCCACCACCACTACCCCACAATCACCACCACCGCAACCGCGACCACTGCCACCACTTCACCCCTGTCATTAACCACTACCACTACCTGGACCGCTATCACTGCTGCTACTGCGACGACGACCACAACCACTGCTACCCTTTCTACCACTACCGCCACTACTGCTGCTGCTACGGCTGCTACTACTGCTGCTGCCACTACTACTTCTCTGCCATTATTGCCCCAGCCCGAGTACACCGCCGCCGCCACCACCGCTGTTTTTCCTCTTGCTGCTGCAACTGCTGGCAATTCATACTTCTGTTATTCTCTCAGCCCTTTTCCCCAAAAGAAGAAAGCTGGCCTTGCGACTGTCGATCTCTGCCTTCGACCACGAAGCCGCTGCCTTCGAAGTGCCCAGGCAGCCTCGTTTGAACCGTGGGCTCAAAGGTCAGGAATGCGCCAGTGCAAACCACAGTTTTAATCCCGTTGGTGAACCATGAAGGAGGATTCTGAGTCTGTGCTGGTTAAAAAGCATCCTGTTGGTGGCTATTGCATATTGGTGGAGGATTCGGACTTGTGGCTGGGGGACAAAGCGCAGCTCGCCAAGGCGCCCTTCGCAGAAAGCATCCAGCACCTTGCGGCTCTTCTCGTCCAATGGCGTTTGCCTTCACTGACTGCGGGATCACCGGGACTTCTCGCTCTCGACACCAGAACTCCAAATACGGAATCTCAGTTTGCAGACGTTTGATCGTCGAGGAGCCTGTGGACATGCTGTGTACAGATTTGCGAAGGAAATGACGCTCTAATATGTTCTAACGATTCTTCCGACCCCAATCAACCTTGCAACAGGAATCGGAGGCTTCGAAGACCTTGCAGTCCCTCGAAGTTCAAGGCCGTTGCTCCGCAAACCGCATGCAAAAAGTCCCGTTGCCATATAATCCAGAGAAGTCCAACCTCCCCATCCTAGAGCAAGCTTTTGACAAGATGCCTAGACCTCAGCATGCCCAAACTCTACTGTACCAGCTACCACCATGAAACAATCCTCATATTCCAAGACCGCGAGAAAAGCGTTGCTTCCGGAGTACTCTAGACGGTGGAGCTCCGCGCGCAGCGGAGCGTCGTTTTGACGCTTGGCACAACCGCAGCGGGAGCCCATTGCCAGTGAATTCGTGCGATGATCGTCGCAGCAGTAACAGCAGTAGCAGTGAAGGCTTTTTAGGTAGTAGAGGTACTAGTAGTAGTAGTAGTAGTAGTAGTAGTAGTAGTAGTAGTAGTAGTAGTAGTAGTAGTAGTAGTAGTAGTAGTAGTAGTAGTAGTAGTAGTACTAGTACTAGTACTAGTAGTAGTAGTAGTAGTAGTAGTAGTAGTAGTAGTAGTAGTAGTAGTAATAGTAGTAGTAGTAGTAGTAGTAGTAGTAGTAGTAGTAGTAGTAGTAGTAGTAGTTTTGTCACTGGTACGGCGATGACAGCTCCTAGTAGTAGTAGGGGTAGTACTAGTAGTAGTAGCAGCAGCAGCAGTTGCAGTAGCAGTAGCAGTAGCAGCAGTCGCAGTGGCAGTGGCAGTAGCAGTAGCAGCAGCAGCAGTGGTAGTAGCAGTAGCAGTGTAGCAGTGTAGCAGCGTAGTATTGTAGCAGTGTAGCAGTGTCGCAGTGTCGCAGTGTGGCAGTAGTAGCAGTAGTAGTAGCAGCAGTAGTAGTTCATGTTGTTGTAAGTGAAGTAGTAAGTCGAAGTAGAAGTAGAAAGTAGACATAGAAGTAGAAGCAGAAGTAGAAGTGGTACTTGTATGTACTTGTACTAGTCGGGGTAGTAGTAGTAGTAGTAGTAGTAGTAGTAGTAGTAGTAGTAGTAGTTGTTGTTGTTGTTGTTGTTGTGGTTGTAGTAGTAGTTGTTGTTGTAGCAGCATTAGTAGTACTAGTTACTAGTAGTACTCCTAGGAGTAGGAGCAGTAGTACTCCTAGGAGTAGGAGTAGTAGTACTGCTAGGAGTAGGAGTAGTAGTAGTAGGAGAAGGAGGAGTAGGAGCACGAGTAGGAGGAGTTGCAATGGCGGCAGCTGTAACGGTGGCGGTTGCCCGTAGCAGTGGCAGCAGTGGTAGTGGCTGGCAGAGGGAGTGGTAGTGGTAGTGGCAGCAGTAGCGGTAGCGCTAGCGGTAACAGTGCCAGTAATACCGGCAGTAGAGGCCATAGCAGCAGTACATAGTGTCAGCAGAGAGCAGTGCGCAGCAAGTAGTGGTGGTTGCACTCGCCGTCGCCGCAGTTGTGGTAGGGGTGGTCGTAGAGGTGACAGTGCTAGCAGCAGCAGTAGCACCTGTAGAAGCAGCAGTCGCCGCAGTTGTAGCAGTTGTTGTAGTTGTAGCAGTTGTAGTGGCAGTAGGAGCAGCAGCAGCAGCAACCATTGCAGGAGTCGTAGCAGTTGTTGTTGTTGCTGTTCTACTTCTGGAGCGCTCGCTGCGGTAGCTGCTGCTGCTGTCGTCGTGATTGCTGGTGGTTTCCACACTGGGGCTTTCGGCATCAGGCCGTTGAGGGCTGAGGTTCCTGAGCATTCGGAGTTCGGCCTCGAGATTGCTGTGCACAACAGATCACGGATCCAGCCCTTCAAGAGTTGCCAAAATCTCGCCAGTTGAACGGACCGCACAGTGCTGGGGCTTCGTCTTTGTACTGTACGGCTCTTTCAGCTGCATGCTAGCACGGCGGTTGAGCCACAGGCACATGCATAAGGCTAAGCACCAGGCTGACCACAAGATGCCTGAAAAGCTAGAAGTCATCAGACTGAGTGGTAAAGTGCAATGTGACGAACCAAAAAGGCCTTTGTCTTTACAAGGCCCCAAGAGCCAACGTTAATTTCCCAGGCAGACACACACACACACACGCACAAACAGACAAACAAACAAACAAGCAAGCAAACGACCAAACGAACGAAAAAAACAAACACTCCCACACAAAGCAACAGACAGACGGACCGACGCACGGACACTCACACAAGCACACGCACACATATACACTATACCCTCACAACTGATACAAATCCAGTTCCCCAGCCCTGTAGCGTGATGGCAGCCGCTCCCCGATGCTGACGAACTTCACGATGCACGCGCTTGTTTTGCTAAACCAAGCCGCGTCCAGCGGGAGCGCGCTCGTTGCCTGCGAAAGGCTTCTGACGAGTTCTTTAGACTTTAGTCAAGTGCACAGCAAGCAAGTGAAGCTACCTGCAGCAGGACTCTGAAAGGAGGAAACCGGAAGACCATGTCGGTTGAAGGCAGACCATGATGCGGCAAAGGTCCTTCAGAGAAGACGTCCGAGCCCGACCCGGCGGTGGCGGAATCTCCACTTCTTTCATCGGCTTCGTGATTTCGAAGCCATGTCTCCACGGGTATCCGTGTGCCTTCCACCTGCACGGCGCGTGCGACGAGCACTCCAAATCAAACCACTAAACCACTCGTGCAGCTTAGCAACGGGACTGGATGGCCACTCTCCGTCTGACCTCGGGAGGTGCTATTGAGAACCCGAAGAACACGAAAATCATAAAGAAAAATCATGCCGGCTGCCACCATGTACGACCCACGAGACTGTTGCTTAGCAGTCTTCGTAACTTCCAAGCTCTGTCAAGGCACTGTGCCTGAGGGCTGGAGGCGAGACTTTGCATCTCCTCCTGCTGGGTTCAGTTTATGGCTCGGGCTACGCAATCTTGAGTCAAAGAGCTGGCATCGCTTCATGACTGCATGTATCTGTGAAAGACATCATTGGGCTTTGGTTGGAGGTGGATAAATACTCGCACCAGAAGTCTCAGACAAGCTCCTCGTCATGTGCAGGGCTGGACCGCCCCAGCTTCCTGCACCGGATTCAGCCATCCGGAGCAATGAAAGTCTTCCGTGGAAGCTAGCACGGCATGAGTACACCAGTGGCTTGCTTCTTTCCGCAACCGCCCCAGCTTCTTCCTCAGAACAATGCCTATTCTCAGTAGTCACTAGCCCATCCACGCAGCAGAAGCTTGAGGTCATATCAGGCCTTTATTGTGCAACGGCTTGCGCTAGGAACTTCAATTCGAACTTCAACTGGCCTGCCAACCGCGATCCCAAAGCCTTGCGAAGTCTCCGAAGTTTTCGACATCACTTAGACTGTAGTCTTGCCGAGTCTTGCCGCCTTGCCTTGCACGAAGACTCCGCCGGCCCGAGGCAGGCGATGCCATGGCAGGAGCACGGTGCAGTGCACTGTGGGCTCGCAAAAGGTTCCGCATCACCTCAGCAAATCCAATGGGCAAACTACTGTAAATGGCTTGACATCTGCACAGGCCTAGGCAAGCATGCCTGTTGCATGCGTCTGCAGCCATGTACGTACATGCACTCGCGTGCAACTTGGCATCAGCACAAGAGGCAACAGATGCCGACAGCTTCATTTGTGTAGGTGAGTGGGTGAAAGGGCTCATGCATAAGCACATGGACTAGCACATGGTGCCTGCGCATTCATAGCATCTTAGCACTGTCGACGAAAATGTGCTTCACGACTGCATGCACGTATGAGATGCGCATGTACGTTCGTCTGTACGCATGCCTTCTCCCATCTGTTTCGGGCAAAGCAGCGGTCGCCTTGTGTCTAGCACTTTTGCATGATAATCTTCGTCGTTGCATAAGTTACATAGGTGCATAGATACAAACAGACATACAGACAGGCAGACAGACATGCGCATAGGCCAAATACATCATACACAAAATACATATACACAATATACATAGCATACATGACATACCTAACATACGTGACATGCATAACAGGCATCGCATACAGACATACAAAAACATGACATATATTGCATGCATGATCATGCATGGCATACATGACATACATAACATACGTGACATACACAACACGCATACGCACGTACATGCATGCATGCATACATACATACACAAGTCATACACAGTCTACAATGAATGTCTGCTTATATAACGGATCCTCAACTGGGCGTATGCGCGCACAGCAAAAAAAAATGTAGGTATGCAGGAGCACATGTAATTACATGTCCGAGCCGTAGCAACTGGGCGACGAGTTTTATCGGTGCCTCGATAGCGGGTCTCAGTCGTCAACTGAACCGCATTTTGTGAATTCGTAAGCGACAACCTCAAAACAGCGAGATTCCCGTTTGCGTAGATACGGACAGATTTGTACATATCCATACATACAGACATGCATATATGCTTATGGAAATCAAGCACAAGCACACACACACACACACACCCACGCACACACACACACACACGCACACGCACACACACACACACACACACACACACACACACCCGCGCGCGCGCGTGTGGCGCGCGCGCGCAGGTGGACACAAACATGCACAATGCAAGCCACGTACACCCATACAGACGCAATTACACATTTGTCCCGGGAATTGGCTGCTTGTGCCGAATTAACCATGTGTTTGTGTTGATGTGTGTGTGTGTGTCTGATCATGCAACATCTAGCCAACAAGCTTATTATGTGCTCTTCTATGCCGGGGACGGTCTGCAACCGAGGTGCCAAGCAAAGACCCAGCGTCATCAGCATGAAAGCTGTCAGCATGAACAGCGTGGCTGCTGTGATATCCTTATCTGCGCGCGAGATCTGTCAACCCGGCACAAGTAACCTGACCTCCTTTATGCGTGTTACCTCGTCTGTGTCATCCCCCAGGATATCCAAGTGCCGTCTGGCAGCGGGGATCGCAATAGGCGGCCGAAAACGGTGGTCTTTGTAGGTGGCTTGCGAGCCTGCAGCCAGCAAAAAGGTTCTGCTGTCCGTCATCAGCCCGCCAGTACCGCGGCTTCCTGGCCTGTTGGGCTCGAGGATCCGCCCAGCAAGACGGTTTTCGTTGGGCCGGGCGGCCGCTCAACGAAACCTCGGCTCTGAAAAGGGCATACGGCATTTGACGGCATATGGCAGCTCACAAGACAGCACACCTCTCTTGCGAAGAGTACAAGGTCTGGCCGAGAAACTCGGGCAACTGGCATCTGCGAGGCCAAGTTTGGGGCTCTCCGTGTCGAAGATGACGTTTCGGCCGATCATCCATGTCGCGCCAAGGACCTGGATTACTTGAGGCTCTGAGGCAGCCACCGTGTCCCGAATTATCGGAGAGCGTCGTCATCAGACTGGGGAGCACCATGCCCGGTCCCCGAAGCTCATGCAGAGCCCGCATCACTCTGGGCTTGCCGACTGTTTGCCGCGCAGCTCCGTTGCTTTCGAAGCCCAGGCAGTACAGCTCGCCACTGCGACGATAGAGGTAAGAACTTGGGTACCAGCTCCTCGGAAACGTGCGGTCGTTCTCCTTCTGCAAGCACTTATCTTATTCTCCTGTCCTTTGCTGAGCTTGTATGCAATTCATTGCTTCCTGTTGCCCTGTAGATCCCTGTAGCCTTTGCTTCGCTGAAGCTTAAACCGGTCCCGAACCTGACGGTTGACCTCAAGTGCGAAACATCCACATAGCCTGCCGACGTGATGACTTGTGAGTACCTCGACTGTTGCATGTTCCGACAAAGACCACAGAAGCCAAGAGTCGTTGACACACCGCTCTGGAAGACCACCCGGATCGGTGGAAATGACGACAAAGACCCTCCTGCAAAAGCAGAACCTTCTGATCAAGTTGAGGAGCTTTGCAGTGCGCACAGGTCAGATAAACGACACGGCCAAAGGCTCATCACGCAAGAAAGTCGCGGGGTTGAGTTATGCGTCTGAGCATGCCGGAACCACTGCAACATGCATCCCTGGTCAACGAAAGTTTGGTACTGGCAGCGTCCTGGAACTGTCCAGCACGTGCCACTGGTCCCCTGGGCAGCACATCCGCTGTGCTGCTTGCAGTAGGATTTGACCTCATCTTGCAAACGACGGTATAAATGCGACCACTGCGGATGCGAGTAGAAGGAGCTTCGCAAGTTTGTTTGGGCCTTGGGCTTGAAATAACTTCAAAACCAACATGCAGACTTACCTTACTTTCCCATGGCCGCAGCAAGTGCATCAACACCCACTGATTCGCCAGGCAGCCGTTTCTTTCAGCTGACGGTACAGCCCGTCTGGGAGGTATGTGTACGTCCTTACAACAAGTCATCACTGAGCGATCTCCGGAAGGATAGCAGACCGAACGTGTTCATGAAGTTTCCACCATATTGCCATGGTGCGTGCCCGAATCCACGATAGTGTGTCCAAAGCCGCCTCGCACCCGAACCAGAGAAAACCAGATGAAAAATCTCAGAGACTCCACAGGACAGACTGGTTCTGGCAGTCTTGACACTCTCGCAGAAGGAAAGAGTACAGCGTGATAAAGATTGAAAAGACGGATCGCGCATCTACAAGATGTGCAACTGATCCCCGTTGTGCACAGATTCAGCACAAGCGAAATCGTGTAAATAGCCCAAGACACTGGTAAACACTTCGAGTCCCCAAGTGCCTGAAAGCTCAGAGCCTCCGGGCCCTTCGATGATCATCTTCAAAAGGGAAACACCTCGCAGGGCAGCTCGAACTCTTGCTTTGGGATTACCCAGAAGACCGACATCATCGATGGTGTCGCTGCACGACGAGATGAATCGTGGAGCATTCTGGCTCAGTCGCGACGGTATGAGACAAGGGGCTGTAGAAACCGTGCAAAGTGAGAGGGACCCACTGCACCTCAGATGGTTCAACTTTCGGGAAAAGGGCCCATGCCTTCGTCGTGATGCACACGTGAAGCACTACTTCTCTCATTCGTCAAGAAGCCGTCGCCGTGTTCAGAGATTCATTGAAGCCACCCACAGTCCTCGGCAGAACGCATGTGTCGAGGGGTGGGAATTGACCACAATCTAGAAAGAACAGGAGATTTGCCTATTGATGAAGCTCAGAAGCAGGATTGACCCTCGATTGGAGCAGGGAGACAGGGTCAACAACATGAACTACGACACGTCAGCGACTCCAAGAACCCTCACGAGCGCATACGCAAACCTGCCCTGCTGCCTTTTGAGGACAAGCTGCAAGAGACCTCCCTGGGAGGATAAGCACATGGCGAACACCGCAGCATTCACATGGGCCTTGTCCTGCATGCAGCCAACACCAAGTGCTCAAGTTGAGTGATCTGACGGGCGACCGTACTCACTGTTTCCGCCCAGGCTCGGAGGCAAAGTTTGAAATTTTCGGAGGTCTACGTGGCTTTGACGAGGCCTCATGCTGCATTTTAAGGTGTTGCGGTGTTCGCCATTTCCTGCATACCAAGGCGTCAACAACTCCCCTGCTTTAGAGCCCCATCTCAACAGATCCAGGACTAGCCGTCCACGAATCTGTCTACAAGAAGCCCTCCGTGAACCGATCACATGACAAAAAGACAACTGTTCAACTTCGAAACCCCAAGCAGGAATGGGTGGGTGCCTTGAAGATATTCATCAGGATCGTGGTCATCCTGTCTTTAGATGGGGCCAGGCCAAAGATTCCATTGGCCTGCACCCGTCGGAGCAGGCTTCAAGACCGATTGGACAAAGCCATGCTGCCCATTGCTGAACAGAACAAAATCTCGGCATCTTGTACTACTAGTATCATTCTCAGCCCTGGATGCTCAGAAACGCGGCGAGCTTCAGGCTTCCGGGCTCTGCACCATTTAGCGAGTATCACACAAGTGAAGGTGCAGCGGACGAGAGGAGCCCCCTGGCCTTCTGGGTAACAAAGAGCTTCGTCTCACGGCTGTGACACCCCATCTGCACCTGGCAAGCAGCACAAGCATCCCCTCCAACGCATGAAATCTTTGGAGCATGGCTGCAAGCCTTGACGGGGGGATTCTGCTGGAATTCATCACCGAGAGACACATAATCCGTGAAGCGGTAACCTGACAGAGAGGCGGCGAGGAACATCTAGGTACACCCAGAAGGAACATGGAGGTACAAGTACAGGGCGACAATCCACGCCTTCAATTGAGCTGCCCTCGGTGTAGCTTTGTCGGTAGGCGCAGTAGTTCATCCTGGCACTGGTCGAAAGACTGATGCTTTGCTCTCCGGCAGAAGAGATCCGTCCTGCACGAGTCACAGGCTCGGCGACTGCACTTGACCCACTCCGCCGTCTTCGACTTCGAGAAGTCGAAGTTTGCGTCCAGATGTTGGCCGCACATGCTGCAGCCAGTGCAGGTAAATGCACAGATGGTACTTCCTGGGTTCGGTCAAAACCTTGACTTCGACTGCGTGGAACAGCTCTCTGCAGATCTGTAGAGTTTGCTATCGTCGGCAAAGGTTCCTGTGTCCGCAATGACGGACGTCCGCTGCGGCACTGGAGTGCCAACCTGACATTCTGGTAATTGCACAGTAAGTCATGGGCTTTAGCCGCATGCTACATGAATGGAATTCAAATTCAAAGGCGCCAAGATGTTCCTTCTTGGATTCTTGTCCGTGCAGGCATGAGCCAGGCCAACTCAAAGCTGACCCCTGCTGAGGTTTTCCTGCGCCAGCAACCTCTCAAACCATCACCAGCTTCTCCAAGGTCAAAATGAGTTCCCAGGGTGCCCGTAGAGAGAGCCGACCGTGCAGCCGTGCTGCAAGCAAGTCGACATAGTAGTACTGGTACGATGCCTTGGCATGACGCGGACCATCGTCAGGCTCACAAGTCCACGCAGAAGCGTAATATATAGGGGCCTTAATAGTTAGAATAGGGTTTGGGGATATATTATACTATAATCATAATAAGGAACCCCATAATAAGGAACCCCCAAAATAGTACAGGTAGTTATTAAGGCCCCTACAGTAAATGAGAACAAACACGGCAATACTCTTTTTAGGCAAGCGGCCACGTCTCCGTAGAGCCGGGCCGACTCGATTCCTGTCTTTGTATCCAGTAACCAAGGCATCCGAACACGCACATCCTCTTCTACTTAACCCTCTAGTCCAGTTCCATCCTGTTCCTATGTCTGCGGAAAACTTCAATTAAACACAGTGGTCGGCACACTGCTGCCTCTCCTGCGCCTTCATGCCTGGCAACTGTACTCGGCTTAGAGTTAGGCACTCAGCCTCCGCACAAGATGCGTCTGCCTGGGAAAAGGCGCATGCTCTGTGCAAGCCAAGATGCGCTTGTCTGCATCGTAAAGTGAGCGACTCCTCGTTGTGCGGTGTTGTGCGCAGGGCGACATAGAATCAAACGGCTCAAGGAGCTGAATTTACGATTTCTCTGCACTGTTCCGTTGTTTCAAGAAGCTTTGGGAGTTTGGTACTCACCGTACTCTTCAGACGACAGCTGATTGTGCCCTCGCAATGTACAAACACCGCAAAACCTTGGACAAAGAAGCGCAGAAACCCTCCCGACAAACACGCCTCAAATTCCCAAAAAATAGAGACTAGTCTGCCAGGCTTCAATCTTTGGTCGCCCAGAGGCATCCCATGGCCAAGCCAAACAGGCGCTCCCACGGGTAGTGACACGATGTTGGCATGTGATGGGGTCGGGAAGCGCCGGCCCACTGGCTTTGAATTTGAGGGTTTCGGGGTGAAAGGCCAAGGAAGGCGCCGGCCCAAGCATGTTTTTGTGGAAGGCATCTGACTCGAAGCGTTGACATATTCGAGTCGCGGTTAACAGCGCCTGCTCTCACCGAGATCGCGGATGTTTCGTAGGCTGCAGCTACCAGTACCGCTGTTCATCACTAATTGGCGATACCTTGTGAGATTTTGTGTAAGGCTATCCCATCCAACTGGTGACTAGTGCTGCTCCCTCTACCGAGCCGTACACGATCATGACATGTATGGACATCAGATGAAGCGATACCACCTCACAAGCACGCACTGACAACTGACAACGAACTCCCAGAGCAGGATGCAGAAGTAGCAGCGCTGCCTCCTACAAGTTAGCCGAGGGTCTTCGAATCCTGAGAAGCAAGCAAAACTGAAGGTGCCATTGCTGATGCCTGTTCTCACTACCTTGCATGGCGTCGGATAACCTCAGCTGTCGGTGCCTGCTGCGTCCCCAAAAAATCAATGCCGAGGCCACGGCTGTAGTTCCAAAGACTGCCATGTACCTACCTTGAGCTGGCTGACCTGATCTCACAGGCTTTCAAACGACGCAGCTGCTTAGAGGAGGCCCTCAGCCGCAGCTGCCATTCCGCTCCCAACATTTGCCGGTAGATTCAAACATAATTAATAAATATGTATATATACATGTGTATCTATATTTTTATCTATTTATCTACTTATTTAGTTATTTATACGCATATATATATATACATACATGAGATACTGGAAGCAACCGGCTGTGAAGCCCTGAAGCCTTTAGAAACGGAAGAAAGATTCGGAACGATAGCCAGGCGGATTCTCACATGAGCCAGTCGGGGCTGCGCCAACCGCGAAGAACACATCACATCTCGGATGCGGACGGCATTCCAAAGGTCTTCTCCTAAGTTTCACCAACATGCGACATGCTGCACCAGGGTGCCCAGCCCAAAACACAAAAAAACGCGTACAGAGTATATGCGCGCGCAACAGAAAAAACAAACACCCGCCATTTTAGTAGAGGTGATCTTTCCTTCGGTGAGAATGTCCTACATGCCAAAAGCTGTGTTCCCGTTCTCTGCTACCACACCCTCCCTCTGCGTGCTGGCTCGCTCGCCGGCTTGCTCTGTTGGGCTTTGCTTTGATGTGCGTACTTCATCTGCCACACCTGCATAATCTGCCACATCCTCACCTCTTGTTCTGGACGCCCCCAGCCACAGCTGTCATGTCCCTTTCGGAGCATTTGTAGTGTAGAAGCGTTCCGGTTCCCCTTCGTGGCGAGCTGAAACAGCACTGCAGCCTGCCGTTCTTAGCCCGATGCTGGGCCGGCAGTCATCGAAAATGTCCACCTAGGGCAACAGGTTTCTGTCTTATCTGACTGTCCTTCTTGTTTGCAAGCTGCCGGCTGCAGGTGAGGCGCAAGCTGTCATGGTTGTGAGATGGAACAAGGCTGAGTAAGATGCGAAATTGTGTACCATGTCTGTCCTTACTTGCACCACGATGACCAAGCAAAAATCCTGCCTGTCGCTTCGAGGTCAGCTGGAGAGCAATGGATTCCTCGGCAGCCATTGGTCACCCGACTGGTCGCCGATGCAAGTACGGCAAATTCACAATAGCGCAAGGTGTCCGAACCTGGCCCATCATCCAGCTATGCCCTAAAGAATAACCCTGGGCATGCACGAACATACTGTGCTGCTCAGCAAACTTGGCTTGAAGTTCGTCCATGCTGCATGAACCATGGAAACTAGCTCAATTTGTCGATGGGCCCATGCTTTGGGTTGCTGAGGCATCAACTACCAGCCCACCCCAAAGCTCGGAATCTTTGGGACAAGGTACCTGCATCAGCGCGGCCACCCGAAACGGCCCAATGCGACGTGTTCCACATCCGAACATAGGCACGCGGCACTTCAGACATGTCTTCCCTGCTTCATGCACCGGTGGTCACTAAACGGCGGCCACACGCGAGCGCAACAGCCTCGCTGAAACATCAAGTTATCTTTGCTGCCGCTCTCGCACTGCTCATCTTTCTAGCTCCCAGAAGCAAACCACACCCTGGCACTTCCTCAATGCGGCCAAATCTGAGCCGCCGACTGTTTCAATTGGAACCAACGGTTCGTTACCCTGCAGCGATGCCGCAACACGCCTCGACAAATGTACCGAAAAGAGCTGTCTCTTCATCCCGGCCAGGCATTGTGATCCCTCAGAGACTTGAAAGTCTCAACCTCAGAAACTTGCAGTTTCCCATGCTAGGCCCTTGAAGCGAACCGCCGCTGAATACCCGAGACATCCCTGTGCCTCTGGAGCTCGGCAATCAGTTCCTCCTCGAAGGCCCGGCGACTTACTTCGCTCCGTTTTTGGCTCCCGCATCGTTAAACGACCGAATGCCGCAGAAGGGCGCATGCAGCATGCGGAGCCAAAGGCACCCTGCTGAGACTGAAATGCATGTTTTGGATCCCGCATCGCAAGCTACAGCACGCATGGCAGGTCTGCCTAGGACCCTGGGACAAGAGGCATGTTGAGGTGCCTAGACTTGCCGCCGCGCCTGCAACTTGTTGCCGGGCAGCTCGAGCACATCGAGCAGCAGCTCCAAGGGAACAGGCACCTGTTTCTGTGTGGTTTGTGGGAGCCTTCGGGATTTCTGCCAGATGTGAGGGGGGCTCTTCAAGACAAGAGGAAGTCAGTAGTAGCTAGCAGCGGCAATAATTTATCGTCGTCGGCGTCGTCAGAGCGGCAGCAGTAGTTGTTCGCAGAAGCGTTGAGGGTATCCCCCGGCCCTGGATCATGAACCTGCTCCAGCTCCATACCCAGGTTCTCCACGACAACATCTAAGACCTGCAGCTGCGGCAGAACATAAGAGCAACGACCATTTTATTATATTCTTCGGAACCCACTCGCACAGCTCTTCAAGCCATGAGGCATGGGATGACTTATTCAACCATGAATTCGCTGATCCGCATCATGAAAAAGCAACTGCCCTCAGGATTGGGCTCGCGCCGTCAAGGCCTGTGCTGCGGAAAAGCAACATGCACATCGGCAACCAAAGCCTCCGAAGACATGCCCAGTGCCTCAAGAGATCTTGCTTTGTCGATGGCTATGCTGTGAACAATGCACAATGAGTACTCGTACCATCATTGAGTTGGGGCAGGTCCCGGCAGACTGCCTTCGCTAAGCCTTCACGGTCGCGCCGCTGCCACGCCAACGCCTGCCACATTCCCGACACGAGCGAGTCCAACATTGCTTGGCAACATGCTGCTCTAACAGCCGTGGAGGAGAATCAGCTGAGAGTTGGATCCTCACGCCGCCCACACCCTCGTCAGAAGTACGACCGCCAGCCTGCTGCAGCGCTGCTCGGCCTCGAATCAGCCAAGATTCCCCGGTATACCCAGAAATCGCGGAATCACCCTCCATCATGGAACTGGTATTCACTGTTGAGCCGACTCGGGTCGCGGCAGAATCCCCAGCCGGTGATCCAGTTGCTCAGGGCACCCCTCGCCCGCGCAACCCACTTCGATGACTAACTCTACCCCTGGAGCTACAGGGGCGAAGTTGACTGCGAGATTTCAACCACAGCGGGCTGGCCTGAGCCACCGGTCCCACCACTCCAGCGCTAGACTGCGGAAGTCCGGAACGCCGAGCTGCAGAGGGCAGCAGGGGAAGAAGGATTCAGCAAAATGGTTGTGATGACCACTGTGCTGGAAACACTGGGAATTCCAAATGGCGGTCTACAGCTGCAGATCCCATGAGATATGGATCCCGGCCTCCTTGGGAACTTCGAGATCCTGCATATCATCCATGGAAGCCAACCTGCCACTGCAGCCAAAGCTGCCCAAACCCATCCCACATCCGCAGGGTTTGATGCCGTTCATCCCTCCAGTTGCTCTGAAGCCTGCAGGCCAGCACCAACTGAGACGCCGGGAAGCAGACAATGTACTGGTCCTGAGTTGGTACGGAGATCGGCGCAGCTGGCGCAAAGAGGCTCGCAGCACATGGATTGAATGAGCCCTGCACCATGGCGACTGCAAGAAGGAAGCCTTGGATGTCGGACGAAACCGCTTGAAAGCTTCCCTCAGGGGGTGCCAGGCCGGTAAGTCAGTGTCCAAAAAGCAAACTGCCACAAGCGTGCTGCCAAGTGGCAAAGCGACAGCGGCGGGTCTGGAGTCCGGCGATCATCCCAAATCTGAGGGATTACTTCTCGGCGCACAACAAGCAAGACGAAAAGCGACAAGGTGTCAATCCAAAGCTCGACAAGCCCGGTGAAGCTCTCAGCTGTGCGATGGATGGCGGAACATCCCAGAACCGAGATGGCACTGGTAGCTGGTAGCGAACACGCTCAGTGAAGTGCAGGTGTCGTGGGGGTGTATTGTCGCACGCATCGTCTTGGGAACACCGGGCCACCAGAAGCTGAAGCGTGGTTGACATGAACGTTGGGAAGCAAAGTCTGACTCCAAGCTAACATGGGTGGAGGCCTCAAGGATCACGGACATCTGCTGCCAGCTGAGGTGCCGCAGCGCAAAGGGATCCTCGTGTCACCGGAAAGCACGAGGTGACGATTATGCAAAGCTGTAGTCCTTCTCACTGGCCACAAGAAGGGCCTGGCGGCAAGGCTTGTATCAAATGCCAGCAAATCCGAACAGTGAAATTACTTGTCACGCGCTGGAACGGAAAGCTTGGCCGCTCCTGTCTGAGAGCTGAGGGCATCGCCTTAACCAGCATGGCAGGATAGCATCTGCTAAGAACGCACCACACATTCGAGAGCTTTCGTGACTCTCTTGGAGTCTGAACTGAAGCTCCCGGCCACCAGCCGCTTGTGGAGAACCTCGAGCGCACAAGTCGCAAGATCGGCATGGTCCAGAGGACGGCGAGCAGGCACGTGAAGACTACAATTACGGGCTACTGATGCGCCAGTCCACTCACAATCCCCCGTAGGCTGCACGCCTCCACCTGTGCAGCCAGAGCCTCCGGTTGGAGGCTTCTCCAGCCTGGCCCGTAGCACTCGGCAAGGCGAGCCGCTGTGTGATCTAGTCATGGAGGTATAAATCGGAGGGAATGCATCGCAAAATCAAGACAGGTCAGAGCGTACGGAGCAGAAACACCTCCGCGAGCTGCTTCCAGCAAGGTGCCTGCACAGGGAGGCAACAAGTCCATGGTGCGATTGCTTGGCCTCATTGAACGAATGGAACGGCCTAAAACCCGACATCTCCTTGAAACCGCCGGAACAACTTGCACATACCGCATCTGGGGGTCCAGCTTTTGCCGGCTGAGACCGAAGGGCCTGGGCGCCGGCCCGATTCCAACGGTAATTGTAACAGGCTAAGAGAGGTTATACTGGGAGGTGACTGGCATAACTGACATTGGTCAGTGGTATAGACGGAAAGCTAACAGCATGCAGGAGTAGCAGGCCACTCCCACTTGCTCCCTCAGCATCGAGCTTTGCAGAGCTCGAGAAGGTCTGCTTCCACCTTCGTTGGTACCACTAAGGGGTACAAGAGCTTCCTTGGGCGTGATCTGTCTTGCGCGTCCTATGGGACCCATCGCGAAAACGACAAACAGCTGTGAGAGCATGCCTCGCATTGCGATTTGGGGAGTTCGCCTACAACACAAGATAACTGCTCACCCGATGCCAGAGAGATTACGCAAATCACAGCATGTCTTGGCTTCGATCAACTCACGAGGCACAAGTGCCTTGCGTCCGGTTATATGTCGAACTCTCCACGCCAGGAAGGCATCCACGACATTCACAGGTCCGAGGCTGTGTATCCCCAAAACCGGTAAGCCCAAACCCGAAAGTCCCCACCCAAGGCCTAAGCCTTAGCCTTAGCCCTGAAGTCCCCAGCTTCACTGCGGCCGCTGTTAAGAGTTTGGCTGCACGGTTCCGACTCGTTTGCAAGGACTTGGTGTCAGGCGTACTCGAGAGGATTCTGCCGAGCATCCTGCTATCGGTGAAAGCCAATCATGCTTCGCAGATTCCAATCTGAACAATCGCTGCGACTTGTCAAGCTGACAGGCGCTGCCCAGTCCTCCAAGACGGGGTTGGCCAAGACAGTGACAACACCACCCAGGTGGCGGGCGAAGACGACAACTAGCCGGAGGGCCTCCAAGCGTAATCCATCTGTAAGCACCAGCTGAAGTGCTTTCCGATGGCTTTTGGCGAAGGATGGAGGCCTGAGGCCTGCTTGACCTCCTTGACTGAACTAAGTCAGCCAACAAACCACGGGGCCTCCTCGGGGCTCGCATCAGCAATGCACGTCTCGTCCTGTCGCAAGCACGGGATCAGGGTTCGTTTGAGGTTCTAATTAGCAATTGTCAGAGTGCTAAACGGGTGAGGTCTGCGTGCTGTGGCCTCTTCGATGAGGTGGCGAAGCAGCAGGGCGGCGGCGCGCGCAGTGGCAGCGTCCTGCGGCCAAAAGATTGCCCGCCAGACACTCGTCTAAAGAAGGGGCGCGGCTTCACCCGCTGGCAGGCAGAGCGCTTCTTCGCACACGACTTCACCCCATGAAGTGGGACGTGGTCGCTGGGTCGTGGCGCCATTTCCGAGACAGCGACGTACCATGCCGCAAAAGCTCCTGGACTTGTTGACAGTTCGGAATGCTGGAGGTCTTCTAGCGCTCTCTGTGCCCAGCTCCAATCCGCGCCTCGGCAACTTGGGTTCCATTCAACGGTGAGCTGTGCCTGTGGCGGCGCAGCGGAACATCAACCTGAGCATTGTGGGGCCTCTGTGTTCTTGGTGCGCGAGTCGATTTTCAGGCCCAGTCATAACATGCACGTAGCATCATGGGCTAGTCGCAAACCGGAACATGAAAGCTCGTGGGGCTCCTGACCGGATACAAGTTGTCGTCACGCACAGAGGTTGGACTCGTCCCGCAATGCTGGCGAAGCTCCTCGACTATAGCAGGGCACTGGATTGACACGCTCAGCAACAACATTTAGTGCTCTACTTCGTCCGAGCGGCCCAGAGCAGCGCCGACCCCAAGGCATGGCTGTCAGGACGGTCATAGCTGAGAAGCGGGGCCACCTGCAACTTTATGATAAAGCCAGTAGCCAGCCCACAACTCGACCCTGCGCATGACTTGGCAACCACATGATCTTCCCGTCTCGCCGTGACGGTGTGACGATGCCAGCAAACCATCAGCCAACAGCCGTGGAATTCATCGAAACTTTGGAAGTGGCCACAAGCATCACAGGGTTCGCGATGCTGATGCATCTCGAAGCGGATCACAACATGCGAGCCTCCTGCAAGGCCCGGTAACGCTCAGCGAGCTCGCGCCGTGGCATTGCCTGAAAGACTTCATGTCAACAATTCTGGGTGACCCTCGGTGAGAAATCCCTGGCTCTTCCCTTTCCTCAACCGTTACTGAGCAAAGCCTCCAGCCGGCGCAGGACACCGGTCAAGTTCTGCATCCACTGCTCCTGATCCGTGAGACTTAGGGTACGTTTCATCCAGCCCAACGTACGGGAAGAATCACCTGCAGACACCATTGCTTTGAATAGAACTTCTCCTATAGGGAAGCTCCTCCGGGATGAACACCGCGTAGGCTTCGTGCTTTACGTGTCCGGAAAACCTTCCGGCGGCATGAGCATGCCACGGATTGTTGATTACAGCTGGCCGCTCGTGCAGTCGATTCCGCAGGATGGCAACGGTTGGGCCGGGGTGCGGCGCGAAAGTATAAAGCCATTGGTCGCTGACCACCACCTAAAGTGCACAGCCAGTCTCGTGAATGGGTTCATCGCATCTGGTAATCTCGTGCTGGACCCCTTCACAGGCTAAACAGAGCACCTGCATGGAAGCAGCTGAGCGGCGGGGATACAGCTGTGAAGAACTGCGTCGTAGAATTTCCGAGTCGGGCCCCCGTTCCTGGCAAGAAGGCATATGTGAGGACGACGACGATGACTAATCAAGAGGCCTCCCCGCAATTGCAAAGCAGAACCGGCTGCTTTGGAAGCCACGCTGGAGCTCCGAACCTCGGTTGCCGTGTCTGGGGCCTTGCCACTCGGGCATTCCGAGCCTAATACAGGGGCCTTCATACTTATATATAATTATTAGGCTCTGGTTGTAATCAGGAACCCCCAAAATAGTATAGGTAATTATTCAAGCCCTTACACATATTCACCCGAGTCCCGAAGCCGAGCTCGGCACTCGGCACGAACTGATCGCCGACCCAAACCCGCGAGGAGCGGCGAGCGAAAGATCGAACATTCAGAGCCTCCGGCCGGTGGTTTCCGACTCAATAACTAGGGTTCCTTTAAAGGGGTCCATAATTAAGGGCTATATATTATCAGGGATCTATAATGGTACTATGACATATAGGGGCCTCAACAATTAGACTAGGGTTCCGCTTTGAGCGTTCTCTCTTTAAGCCCTCGCTCGCATCCCTAGGCTACAGGGGGACCCATGCCTGCGCTCGCAAGTTCCTGGAATGTTCGTCCTGGTAGTAACCGGAAAACCTCAGAGCTCACTCAAGTCAGGGCTGCCGGCCTGCCACCAGAACAGTTTGAAACTTGCAAAATTCGTGACCAATAACTCGGAATGCAGGCCGGGCACTGGTGATAGAACAAGTACTTGCGCTTCAGCCACACCTTCCAAGAACATCTTGGAGGTCGGGCTCCGTTCTGTTGCTCGCTCTGGTTGCACCTCAAACTCCTCCACATGGTGCTCGGAAAAGGGAAAGCTTTGTACCTCAACACGCAATCGGTCTCGGAGAGAAACGCCGTACGGCGATTTACATGACCTCCGACCGTCGCATGTTTCTGCACCCATCACGATATCGATATGTATACATATATATGTATATGTATATATATATTTATTTATTTATATATAAATGTATATCAATCCGACAGAGCCCTGTGGGTCCCAGGCGAAAGGTACAGGCAACGAGCATCTCCAAGGCCTCTTCCTGAACGGCGTGGCGGCTTGCGGGCAAGATCTCCTGGACATTGGCTTATCCGCAGCATCACCCGTCCTCCGGTTGCCCTGCAGCATGTAGAGATCGCCAGAGTTCTCAAGAGGCGTGGCCTTCAGTGATCGTCCGGGGAAGAGCTCCATCACCCCGACCGTCATGAAGTGCAAATGGTTCCTGGACTCTCGAGAGTTGCAGGGAGACTGCGCAGAGCAGAGGCTCCGGTCAGACCAACCAACCGCTGGTGATGAACGCCCTTGGAAACTCTTGAACAGGAGCAAACAAGGATCTGTGTTGGGATTTCAATTCTGAACAGGCACGCCATCCGCAAGGCATCCGCAAGAATCGGTGCGAACTTCTCGATGAGACGCTCGGGATAGTTCGCCGACATCCTGGGTATCAATGCAGGGCCAGGGCTTCAAGGTGCAAGCCCAACACTTCAGAGCTCTGGAGCCAAAGGCGGCATACTTGACAGTTGAGGCCTACATTTCGAGGCCAACTTGGAGCTGAACGCATGCAGCATGCACAGACTGAGAAAGGACGGACAATTCGAGTGAGAGAAACCGACTGCGGTCAGATCACATCCAGAAATGATCGGCGCCACTCCTCTTCGTAATGTGCGCCTGCTCAAACCTCGGACGGGGGAGTCTGAGTGGACATTTTGGAAGGAGCCCCTGGATCTTCCCTGCGCGTGAGGTCCCACTTCCTGTCTACCACTGCAAAGGTGTTCCGAACACGTGTGGGACCGGTGTGAATCTCCAGGTTAAGGACAGGTAGCTTACTTGCGCCAGGCAATCCTTCACCTTCACATGACATGGTCTTACCCTTGCTGCTTCATGACAACCTGCGCATCTTCTTTTCCATCGAGCACAATGTAGGGTCACAGTATAGGGATTCACAAGGCATCTTCGGAATAATTGACCGTCAGACCACGCTACCTGATCTCTCTTCTGGCTGAGTTGCGCCTAAGCCCTAAAGCTCAAACAGATTGAAACATTTTGCGGCCACTGAGAAAACAGAAATCGTCCCAGGCACAACAAGCCCAACGTCTCGAGAAGATGCTGCTCGTACCTCAGCAGAAATCCGACGCTTTGGCGGGAGTCAGGGCGGGGGCTTGTGTAAGGGAGATACTGTAAGGTTTCAAGAACGGTCACTAGTTATAAGGTCCCATGAGGATACTGCTAGGGGTGCGGATACTTCGCCTCCCACGTCCCTAGGTTCCGCAATCAGCATGGCAACCGTTTTGAGAACATTCGGACGTTCAGCCAGGTAGGTTAAGCGAACCGGTCCCGTCCCTTCTGGTCCACTCACAACCCACAAGATAACACATGTTCTGCCTCGGGTTCGGCTGCGACTGTACTTGGACAACGCCATGCCAGTGCATGCAGACTTTGGTCTCGATGTCAATCCCCAAGGGCAAGCGAAGCAGCGGAAGAGTTGGGCGGAAGCAGGGCATCGGGGTTGGACAATTCCCCGGCTTCTCATCCTCATAAGGAGCATGATCCGGTGCCGAGCTGCATCTGAGGACCACAGAACTCCGAGTCATCTGCGTCGAGGTCCGAAGGATCAATGTCGATCCTGACTGGGAATGCTTCGCCAAGTCGAATCCGAGCTCGCGGTCCAGCAGTACGTGAAAGGTTGCCTACTAGCACCTGACATTCGCTCGTGTCCTCCGAAAGGCTAGGGTTTCAAAACATGCCTGGCTACCTCTGCGAAGTTCTGACTCTAGCCACGCTTGTTCAGAAAGCATGAGCATTTTTGTTGGAACAGGAATCGGAATGATGAAGACCTCCGCCTCCGAGGGCTCAAAGGTCCGCCAGGGATGGGTCATCCTCGGAGAGTCAGGGCTTAAAGGGATCATGGGATACTCATGGGATACTCATGGGATACTGATGGGATCATGGGGTTGGGACGGGTGACGGGGCACCAGCTGTCCTTGGCCAGCTTACGCATGTGACACTCTGGGCTCTCCCAGCCTTTTGGCCGCTCGTGGGGGTATCTTACAGCATCTCGATGCTAAAGTCTTCCCAGAAAAATGCCTTCGCAACCGGAATAAGGGCACCCTTTTACACCTGGACTACGCATATGCCAGGAACTGAGGCGCCGACTGTAAGGGCACCCTAGATCCCAAACCCAACCTCCCAAACCCTGACCTTACGTGTTAGAGACTACGACCGGGGATTTTCCAAGTCGCATCATCCGGTTGAAATACTTCGCCGCAGCGAACTCGTGCACAGCTCCGAGGCTGGCCTCGTCATGCCAGTACTTCTTTAAGGGTTTCCTTCCAGGGTTTTATCATTTTTTGAAACCGGACTTGATGACTGCCAGCACTGCCTAAAACCCCTTTTTGTGAACCCAGACTCTGCAACCCTAAACCCACAAGGGTACTGTTCGAGGTCCTAAGGCTCTTTTGGAACCTCACGCCAGAAAGACGAAGTGGTCACAGCTTCTCCAATGCAATGCTTTCCCTCTCAAAGGCCCCCCAGACCCCAACCACTGTCACTGTGTGTCGCATAACTGCGAGGCTTCAAGTCAATTCAAATCCTCGATGCCTAAAGCCAAAGACGAGAACGAAGTTTTAAAAAAATGATGCAGAACGGCTCAAAGTCTGACGGCTCGAATTGCCGAGGAACGTTGTAGCGTAGGTCGACAGAAGCCACGGTCCATCGGCTCCGGTTTTCCAGCACGCTCGTCTTTCGTTTCATGCCTCCAGCTGACGGATATGTTGTATGTGGCTTGGGCACACACTGGTCGCAGTATGTTCAAGCAAGAATTGGGACACCAGTCATGGCAATCATGATCACAATAACGTCTAGCATTTGGCATGTATAGACAGGGCCATGGACTGCAACTGCAACGTCACACAAAGGGCTGCATGCGTACAGCGTCCAAGAAGCAGTGGCCCATAAGTCCTCGGCATTCGAAAGAGCAGCCAAGAGTCTTGAAGACAAGCCAGTGAAAAGCACTTCGGCCGCGTACTGGACACCTTGCCTTTGGCGTCCCTGCGCTGCTGTCCACTGCGAGCGAGCGACCATGAAGCATAGTGACATTGTTGTATAGGAAGAAGGGAACTGGTGGAGGAAGCACAGGAGTCGGGTTCCGGGCAGTCAGCATTGAAAGCCATGGCGCAGCTGCAAGCAAAGGACGTTTGTGGCCACCTTGTGACTTGTGCTTGAGTGGGTGAGGATAGCTAGACAGATTCTATCCGCATGCTTGCTGTGATGCCCTGCTTGCGTTTGGCTAGCTGGCAGCGCCTTTTTTATAGTCGAGAACATCGATCTGAGTCTACAACTTGCTGTTGTCCATTCAGAGGGAGGTGGGGCCGCTAGACAGCGCTGCAGAGCGTCAAGCATGCCGCGAACAAGCACTTTGCTCCTACTCGGACTTCTGCTTGTTTGCAACAGCAGGTGATGACAACGGCCGTCAGCACCAGACAATTGAAGCTTCGAGATGGCGGAAGGTCCTGAAACCTTCGCCGCTCCCGGCGCTCAGCGAGCTCACGCTCCTTGCGGGTGCGGTACACGCATCACTTCTAACTTGTCTTTGGTCTGATACGTCTGCGCTCGATAAGGCTAACTGTGCCCGTGGTTCTTGTTCCGAGTGGTACTGCTGGTGGTGCTGCTGATTGCTATTACTATGGCTGCTGTTGGAACTACTCCCGTTGTTAGTGCAGTCCTGTACTGTTGCTATTACAATGACCACGGCGATGAATTCCCTATAACTCATACCAGTACTTCTGCTTTTTCAATCAGCGGCATACACAAACACAGGCCCCACGGCCTCCTCTTCTGCACTACTAACAATACAAATGAGTGCTAGTACATTCGCGCAGTTTTCATTTCGTTTAGATTTATATTTTCTGCTGCTACCTCTGTTTCGGTCTTTTGCATGCATTTAGCTCAACATTGCCATTGTCGTTACCATCACATGAACCTTGATTTGATTTAGATGTGCAATGACCACAGCAGACAACAACAACAACAACCACAACCACAGCCTATGAAGACGACTACTAACTACTACCGCGACCACGTCAAGGCCACGCCATGGCCATGGCCTCTGCCACTGCTACCACTACTACGATGACGACCACTACTGTCGATGTCATGCAACAGCAGCGAAAGGTGCGCGATCACAGCGCTGACTACGAATCTCGCGAGTCTTTCGTTGCTGTCACAGTTAAGGCTGCTATCGGTGTTCTTGGTTTCCTTATCCCGACCATCTTGCTCTTATGATGCAACTTCAGGCGTACCGCACACACACAAGTGCACCCCCACAGGCTTCTTTGCCCAGGTCCTTCTGCTCGCCCAAGGCATTGCGCATCCTGGATTCTGCTCGTATGCACCTCACACTACCTCGACGCATAGTGCTCGTGACGTGGTCAACGTGTGCTTTGAGCTTCCGGCTCCGGATTCTGGGCCGCGCTGGCCTCCTGCACCTGAGATCCAAAATCACGCTGTCGCCAGGTCTGTATCACAGTTCCTGCACGGCTCGGCCTGCTCCGGAGCATCGAGTAGATCCTTAGGTTCGTTGCACGAAGCCCTCTGCAAGTGTTCGAGACCGCATCGCTACAGGCAACCAAAATAAAATTCCCTAGCATGCCCTGGCCTGCTTGGAAAGTGGCTTCCTGGATGGAATGGCGTAAAGCGGTCCTGCTCGGGCCGTGCGAGAACGGGCATCTCTTGCTCGAGGGCCGCGCCTTCCAGTCGAACTGCGGTACTAGGGCCCCACCTTGAAGAACGGGGGGATAAAGCAGCACATTTTCTCAAGATGGAAAAACTGAGACAACAATGATTAGTAGTCTTTGTCACCCACATGACAATGACTAGTAGTGGTAGTAGTAGTAGTAGTAGTAGTAGTAGTAGTAGTAGCAGTAGCAGTAGCAGTAGCAGTAGCAATAGCAGCAGCAGCGGCAGTAGACTAGTAGAAAGAAATCACCACTGCCCGTTTTCGACCCCCCTGCCCGCCCACAAGATAGGTCCGATACCCATACAACAATATCCTCAAATCGCAAAAGCAATGATGACGGTAATACTACAAGCACCAGAAGGAACACTATAATAACAACAAACATAGAAGACTTACAGCAGTCATCAGAATTGTCATCATAGTTATAACTACAGCTAGACTTCTATACACAAAGCATTATGGCAGCAGGAGTGCTAACATCTAAGAAGACTCACAAGACAAAGACAACGAAGATGGCTTGCCGGAGCACACACCTGCAAGAAGGTTTCACCTATTCAAGTCCGTCTGAGCGAAACGACCTAGGATCACTCCAAAGCAACGTGACCATGCTCTACCTTCTGCCAAGACTTCGAGCAGTCACTTCAGCCAGTGTCGCTTGAGCTCCACCGAGGCAGAAACCATTCGCCAGGCTGCAGCAGGAGACATCATGTTTGCAGGCTCGTCACGTCTACAAGCTAAAGCGGTCATTCCACGCCGTGATGAAAAGACAGAGGCAACCGTTCTCGATAACATGCCGAAAGACCAACAAGATTCTTTCAAGACTTGAAGACAGCGCCTGGCGCCGTCTGCGTCTCATCCCGCGTCTCGTCTTCGCCCGGCGCGGGAGCTGAGATGAAGGTCTACAGCTTCGGTTCGCATTTGGGCCCGGCGCTCGGACTAGTCAGTCTTGCTTCTGTCGAGAATGGTTCGGGAACCAAGGAATCAAGCTTTCCCACTTACGGGCAACCTGTTCCGTTGAGAAGACCACGATGGGCATTTACCATGAGGCTGGGAGCTCAGAAGTCTCCAGGTCTCCACAAACACGGCTTGGGTGCTGGCCGGCACGTGGCGAAAGAAGTCCTCCTCCTCTTAACAAGTCATGCTTGACGGTTGGTCTCGAGCTTAGTGCATGCACTGAGTCAAGCATCGATGGATCAAGGGATGCTGTTGTCACCAGATCAAGGGATGCGGTTGAAGTGGACGTGCTTGGCTGGCTAGGGTGGATGTCTTGCACGGGTCCGACGTCGTCGGCCCTTCGCGTATTCATGTGTATGCTGGCTGGACAAAAGCACACATGATGCGTGTGTGTAGGTATACATGTACTTATGTACTTGTATTTATGAATGCCTGTCACTGCAGGTCTGCATGTATAATGTGGGTGAATGTGCGTGTGCGTGGCGCGTGTCTGTGTGATGCATGCATGTACACATGTACATACCAATGAAACCCTTTTCTGTGTCGATATGTTTATGCGAACTTTATGCACACATGCCTATTTGTCCAAATATCTAGTTGAATCTAGTTTCATATGCAAACGGGTCCTCCTCTTCCCTGAAAGCGAAATCGAGACAGGAGCCAACCTCGCTCGCGACTTCGTGCAGACTCATGCATCACTGATGAAGCTGGGAGGAAAAAGCAAACTCGAAAGCAAGGAGGATCAACTCGGAAGGTAAAGGACTGTGCGGAACATGGAAAAACTCGGAAACTGAAGCGAAGACTCGTAAGATATAGGCGAGATTCAAGAAAACAAGCTACAGCTCCTACGACAGCCAACCTGTGTTTGGTCGCACTACAAGTAATCAGAAGAGAACTGGTGCTCACCATGAGAGGGCATGCTTGGCATCCTGTCCAGCCTCAATTTGCCGCACTGGCTTCCTTCCACTTTCAAACCCTCTGAAACCAAAAAACACCCGCTATGTACTACGTTATGCATATACTACTACTTCGGTGGCGTAGCAAACCGTGGTTGTTGCGCGGCAAACCCTGAACCCGAAACCGACATGTTCGCTGGCAAACCCGAAACGGAGATGTTGGTTGGCAAACCCTCGAAGGAGACGTTTGTTACCTGGCTGGCAAACTCCAACCCCAAATCTTGGATGTTCATTGGCAAACCCCAAACCCTGAAAGGACATCCTGACTGGCAAACCCTAAACCTCAGCCCTGAATGATGTTTCAATTCGCAGGCCCAAACCTTAGAACGATATATTGGCCACCTTTTTGGAAATCCTCAACCCTAAAAGGAGATGTTGGTTGGCCAAGATTGCGGGCGGTAAACCCCAAACCCGAAAAAAAAAAAGAAGATCCTGCGCGGCACGCCGAAAGAAACCGAAGCCTGACACAATACTAACTAGCAGTTGTCAGCAACCATGAATGTTGGGTAGCAACCCAAAACCCACGAGTAGATGGTGGCAATTGCCAAACCCCAAACCCTAAATGTCGATGTTGGCTGGCAAACCTTAACCCTTAAATGGTTTACCACAAATATTTCAAGGAAATGTTGGTTGGCAAACCCCAAACCCCGAAAGAAGACCGTGGATGGCAAGCCTCAAACCCTATTTAAAAAAGACATTGGCTGTCAATACCTGCACTAACCGAGAGGAGATGTTGGCTGGCAGACACGAAATAACTCCGCGGCTCTGCAGGGCTCAACGACCCTGTAGCAGTAGGAGCACGATTCAGCATCGTTTTCCGAATTATTCCTTAGTCTTTTCCGAGTCTGTCTTCGGCAGGTGTTTCCAAATCGGCCCGCCTGGTCGTCTGAATGTGCTTCAGCCTACTATGCTGCATTTACACCAGAAGACAGTGGGTCACTGCATGGAAACATCTATATGCATACCGCCGAGAACCGGGCCACGTCTGTCGTTGCAATCCCGGCCATGGACAGAACCGGCAGGAAGGTGTCGTCGATGTGCTGCGTTGTCACTTGCCGCAGACGGTTGTCGCACCGTGCACACATGCTGCGGCTTGGCCCCTGGTGCACAGTGCACATGTCGCCCAGCCTCCAGCAAGGATTCCAAGAGCGCAAGGCGAACGGCAGCAGAGCAGTCTGCACAGAGAACATCAACCGGTACAGCTGGGCGACTCGAATGTTGCTTGCTCGTGAGTCACTTATACCCTAATTATGCAGAATTTTCGAACATCGGGACCGGGGAACGCTAGAGCTGCTGCATAGCGGGCCGCGCAGGTGTATCCTACCCCAGTCACTCAAAAGCCGCATGCGAGCACAAACCTGGGCACCAAACTCGAATCCTGCCGATTCCTGTCTGGCATCAAAACACCTGACAAGACCTGACCAAGGTGTTGTGATCTCTGAAGCCCGGGCGTTCCCTGACTGTTGGCCACAAAGCCGCGGAAGCCACTGCTTCAGCGTCGAGGGGCCGGAAAAGATCTGGTAAGGCCTGCTTCGTTGCAGGTCATGTCAGCAGGTGATCTTATGTGACCAGGTATCTGCAGGAAGGGTGTTATGATTTGCTATATCACAGGGTGCCTCTGAAATATGGCACACGACGTTCTGCAGAGCTGCGGAACAGTATTTTACTCGAGCTTGTTGCATGGTGCTGCACTAGGTGGTGCTTTCTCGTGCAAAGACTACGCTACCGGACTAAAGACGACAGCTAATACTACTTATGCGGGCCTTGAAGGCTCAGTGGATGTTGAAAGAAAGACAACTGCAACAAGACAGCGACCCGAGAAGCTGATGAGAGGAACGAAAAAAGCAGATTCGACCCCCATGACCTAAACACAAACACATTCCCATCGAAAATGTCGGAATTTCCGTTGACACATGTGCTCTTCCCTCGTGCAGCTTCGTAGAGCAGCCCTCCGGTGGCCTCACGGCGCTCTTCCAGAAGCTGCGCATGCAACTGCGCAATTGCTCCAATCGCCTGGCACCGGCTGCTAGTGAGTTCTTCACAGGCTGCGTCTCGAAAAAGACTCTCTCTAATCGGAGGAAAGCACGGAACACGGCCCTCACACGGCTTTGGCATTTGCAGTTTCATCGTAAGAAATGAAATGCGAAACCCTGCCACGGCCATTCCACGAGCCTGCACGACCTTCGACATCCTCACCGTCAGAAAAGGAAGAAATTCCGACCCCCGTACACGCAGCCCCACCATCGTGAACCTTCGGCCCCATCTTATTGAAGCAGGGCTCTGTAGCTCTGCCAGCCTCCAACCCTGAGCTCATGTCAGCCGACTGGGAATCTCTGAACCCAAGCCTCTCAAAGAAAACCAGAGCAGCCCTTTCAAGAAACCCCGCCCTAAGTAACCTTCCATGAAGGCAACAATTTTCCACACCCGACCCCGCAACGCTTACCGCCTCGGCCACCTGGGCCGGAGCAGGGCTGCCCAGACGCTTGCGCTGCGCTTTGCCTTGGTCGGGGACACAGCCCGACGCTGCTCCAAAGCATCTAACCGGGGTTTTTGGGGCAGGGAGAGGGAAGGAGAGAGAGAGAGAGAGGGTATTTTTCTCGAGTCCGCAAAGGTTAAGTTCCTTTTCGAAGGTGCTGCCTGGGGAGTTGGCGCGAATTCACCGTGCAGCATGGGAAGGCTCTGGCAGGCTTCAGGCTTCGTCTTGTCGAAAAAAAATCTGAAGAGGCCAGATGTGATGCATACCGCGGCGCTCGCCAACATCCACAAGACTGTCAGAGGAGCATCTTACGGGCGCACCCTGGCCGACTTCTTAGACTTGAAACCAGGCTCAACTGGCAGCCGAAAGACCTAGACAAGAAGCTCCGCAAGGTGAAGGCCTAGTTGACACTGCGTGCAGCGAAATACCGGATGGCTTGATGTTCAGCTAGGAAGTTCACAGGAAGCTTAGGAGCAGACTTGCAGTGGTAGACAAGGCGCGCAGGAGTAGCCTTCCCGTCCGCCGGAGATAGTAACCCGTCAGGATCAGTGGGGCTCGGGGTCATCCCTCAATGACCCAAGGCAGGGCACTCTACAGGACTTCAGTCTGATGATGCACGGCTAAGAAAATCCTTGAGCAACCTCGACCTAAGGTTCGATCACAGCCCAAGACACACGGGCCTCAAGACCTTGGTCGCCGAGATCCGCATCTCCTGGCAACGGAAACACAACCGGCGCCACACGCTCTGCCTGTCTTGGCTATTGCTTTATCTCTTCGCGATGCCCTATACTGTCTGAGCGAACAGACATGTCTGGGCGAACATTGTTGAGGTTTCCGTCCGTTCAAAAAATTCTCTCGGCACCCAAGGGACTCCTCCTCGCTGCGGCCTTCGGATTGCAGGAGCTTCGTCGTCAACTCCTGCGGCTGTTGTGCTCGACAGCACGCATTACGCAGAACTAAATAAGCACCCGAAAACCCAAGTGTCTTCCCACCCGATAGTTATAACCTCCTAAATCACACAACTTCCAAAGGCCGTAACTTCCACAATCATATCATCGAATCCCTGCGGCTTGCTTTATGACATGGACGTGGTGAAGCCACAGAATCGAACGGAAGCACGACACAGTTTGACTTGGTACACTTCCCGATTTGTTACGTTACTGTCAATGAAGTGCACTACCAAGGCCTGAAGCCCGAGCTCAAAGCACCCCTCTGGAAGCCTGCAGGCTGGCTATTCGCCGGGCGGGCTTGGAGCCTTGAGTGCACTCGGCACACAATACGAAAGCTCGCGAGTGGACATGCACACCATGAGCACGACGATCTTTTCAACACATGTCCAACTTTTTAGTAATTTTAGTACATGTCACGCGGTCTCGTTGGCGGCCGCAGCCATATTGCAAAATCGAACAGCTGTTGCGTGGACATAGCGCGCCAGATGGCACACAGTCGAGCTTCCGTTCGATTCACGAACCCTGTGGCAAAACGCACAAGGGCAAGATCCAAGTCGACTTGGGGCCGCAGCTCGCTGACGGTGAGGATCCCGAAAGGCGCAAGTGATCCTCCGAGCAAAGCCGGTGAAATCTGTGCAGATGTATGCATACATACATACACACACACGATCACACACGTACATACATTCAGGTAAGCAGCCAGGCACGCAGGCAAAGAGACATGTACATATCATACACAAGCATATACAGGTGTACCTGTACATGTATGGATACTACAACTCTTTTTTGTATATACAAATACAAACGCACATACTTACTTGCAAATGCACACAAACGCACATACTTGCACACGCACCGGAACTCTCGCGTGTGTGCGAGGGGTTGAACGGAGTGTGCTCGACCGGTTAAGAGCTACTGCCGCCGAAAAGCTTGAGCGCAGACCCTTCACACCGCATTTTGGCCATTATACAATACATCACCCGACTGTCCATGGGCCCGCCCCCCTAAGCGAGCAATGGACGCTCGCACAGGTTAGTTGGATATCGCTAAATGTATACGCCCGTATGTGTATAACACAAAATGGTGTGATGTGGTGTGATGTGATCTGTCATAGTATCACATGATAGGTTATAATCTGATATGATGTTTTATAACATGATATGGTGTGGCATGACAGGGTATGACATTGATGTGACTTGAAACGGTATGGTACGATATGGCGTGGTATTGTAAGATATGGAATGGTATGATATTTCATGGTGGGAAATTGTGGGGCATGGTACGGGATGAAGAGAAATCATGTGACATTGCATGGAGTGATACAGCCTCTCTTGAGATGATTCAGTCTGATAGATCATGATGTGACGGGATCTGTGCATTTGCATACATTCATATATACATGCATATATACATATATACATATATACATACATACGTTACATACATACATACATACATGCATACATAAATACACACATACATACATACATACATACATACATACATACATACATACCTGCATACGTACACACATACACATACACATACACATACACATATGTATGCGCATGCACGTACACGTACACATATACATACAAATATACATAAACATAATACATATACATATACATATACATATACATGTGCATATACACATACATTCACATGCACATAAACCGTACATGCACATGGACATATACATATACATATACTACATATTGTACACACATACCATATACACATGCAGGCATGGTTACTAGACGTGTACATGGCATATTTTCGTGATGTAAGCATAAACAAAAAATCATATAACAGACGTTGACAAAATTACATACATACATGAACAATTACATGAAATATCATGAAATATAATGCAAAAGGCAGCGGATGCATAGGTGGATAGATAAATACAAGACATACATTTTAGTAGACATAAAGAATTGGAGCGTGCAGCTGTGCACATACGAACACAAATGATGATGTACAGTTTGATGTATACGCACTTTTGGGGCGCTGCCGACCCCCAAAAAGCGATTCTGTGCGTCACAAGTCGGTGACGTCATCTTGCTATCATGCGGCCTGGCCTTTCGTCTGGCCCACTCGGTCAAGCGCGCTTCAAACCTGGTGCGGGTGGACGGAGGAGGCCTAAAACCATGGTCCTGTTTAGAATCCAGGTTTTAGAATCAAAACCAACAGGCAGAAACAATGTGTAAGCCGAAAGCAACTCGAAGATCACGGCAGCGCAAGAGACAGCATAATCTTGACCCGGAATAAGACGAAGTGCGGTAAGGGCGCAGAGAGCGCAGTCCGGTGTCAGGCACAAGGCCCAGGACAGCGCCCAAGAGCTGGGCCTGTCTCTCGCATTCGTGTTTTGAGTCTGGAGAAAAATGTCGATCCGCAATGTTTCTGCTGTCGGAATCGCTTGGGCACTGAGACATCAGCACGCCGAATCCACACGTCGGGCTCTAACTTCGGCTCGTCCGACTGCGGAGCTGGTCCCCTGGGCATGCTCTTAACAGCCACGGCAATCAGCACTCTGCGAGGACAAGTGGTGGTGTTCGTGGTGGTGGCGGCGGCATTGGTCGTCGTCGTGTTCGTCGATGTCGTAGTCGTGGTAGTGGCCGTGGTCGTGTTCGTACCCGTCTTCGTCGTCTTCGTCGTGTTCGTCGTAGTCGTGGTCGTGGTCGTGGTCGTTGTCGTGGTCATCGTCTTCGTCTTCGTCGTAGTAGCAGTAGCAGTAGTTGTGGTAGTCGTCGTCGTCGTCTTCGTCGTCTTCGTCGTGGTTGTCCTGCTCGTCGAAGCTCTCGCAATGAATGCTGATGCTCATGGAACGAAGAAGACCGTCGTGCACATGCACTAAGCCCCCCTCCACCCCCCCCCTGTGCGCAACGAGGCCTAACAGCCAAACAAGACATGGGACTGGCCCAAGGCTCCTTTTGCCACGTTGCGCAGCAGAACGGTAAACGATGAGCAGCAGATACATCAGCGAACTAATTGACCAGTGCAGCAAGCGACCAGATAAGGGGTCAGCGGCGTAAAAGCTTTAAAATGCTGTGAGAGCTGCAAGCTCTTTGCACAGGCTCGGCTCGGTTTGTGGAAACCAGCCCCTGCACGCCCAAGGCCATGATGCTGCCAGGAAAACTCGATGATCAGCCAAGAAGTCAAATATTGAAGTCTTCAACAGAATGAGGCAGGATGTTCTGGCAATGACAAGGCCTACCCTGCATGCTGCGCTGGCAGGCCAGCACATCCGGATGCAAAGGTGTGCATGCTCGGTTCCAGGAGATGATTCCTTGCTTTGCAGCTTGATGCCATCGCTTGCACTGCGAGAGTGCCTAGTGAAGCACTGCAGTTCGGAGGTTCAGGACAGTGGGGGCATCTTCACGACGAGGGGTCACCACAAGGACATCATAGACCTGGGTGCGTTGTGTTTGCCACAGTATGCCTCCTAGCAACGCGCAAACGGGCTTAGGCGTTGATAGCTGCCAAGTTGCGATCTTCATCAAGTAAGGAAAGCCATCGATCAGCGCCAGGATGAGGATGGCGACCACTTCGGCTGCAAATGTTGCTGCTGCAGCTGCTCCTCTCTGAGGCGTTGCTGTTGCAGTTGCCGCTCTTGCAGCGGCTGTTCTTCCATCTGGTGCTGCAGCTGCCTGTTTGCGGTGCACAGGGATCGGCACAAGAAAGCAGTTTTCTCACCTGAACCAGCTTCGGCCGTGCCTGGCACGCATCAGATGGGCGGGAGGAGGTTGCGGAGGCTCCTTCCTCAGTGTCTCCACGAGTGCAGTCCCAACACAAAATCTTACCAGCGCATGCCGGTCGAGGAGACAAGAGTCGGGGGTCAATGGAGAATGTACAAACACCTCCGCTCAATGCAGACCGGCTTTTTTGGCACTCGACGCAGGCAACTTCACCGGGCCCTAGAGGCCCCTGAGCGGCGGAAAAACCTGCAACTCCCTCAGGACCGCTGGCTGGGCAGCGGCGGGCGACTCAGCAGCCAGGCCAGGCCACCTGAGACTTCGAATGCCTTGAAAAAGCCGGAAGGAGGGGAAGGAGGGAGAGGGCCCCTCGCATCCAAGCGGCCGAAAACCGGCAGCAGGGCTGAGACTGCGAACTGGGCCTGCCGATGCCAGACGGAAGAGTTCGGCAGTGCGTGCCCAAACGGTCGATTCCTTGCCGTGGCGGAGTCCGGCCTTGTTCCTTGCACTCCATGAATCAGGGCTGCCGAGGAAGACACCTGCCAAGACATTTTGACCAGGTCCCGTGCTGAAACACCTCAACCATCATGCCAGCTCGCACGAATTTACAAAAGGGGATGCATAAGCAGAGTTTGGGAAAATTCGTGTTTGCCAACCCGGACCAGGACTTGCAAGCAAACCCATGGCACGACGAATACTGAAATGGCAGAGATGCAACCGGGTGTACAAACCTACAGCAATGGAAGGGCAACAAAGTGCCACCTGCATCGTTATACGTTGTTATGCCATAGCATGGTGATCATCTTCATTTACAGAAGCAGCATCCTCCCACATAAGGTCATGTTCCACTGTGTGCAACTATGCCGAGACACAAATTCGAAGACCAAAGGGCTATGATGAAACTTGAGAGCTGGTCACGAAAGCTAGAAGCACGAGGTCCGGTGCTGAGCTCTGCAAAGCGATGTGCACGACAGTAGCGGAGGGAAAGTTTGGGCCGGTGAAGGGTGCAGGCGTTGCTCGTTCATTTAACTCTTGAGAAAGTAATGTGCGAACGACAACTAGAAGTAACTCTGGAGAGAAGACCGCACTTCAGTCGCCGAACGTCAGACACAAACAAGACCAAGGGACCTTCAGGAGGGGGGGGTGGGGGGGACCTCATGATAGGGGGGGGGGTGAAACCATAAACCTCTAAAGGGGTAGCTCTAACAGGTACCTACAGCAATGGCTGCATGCTCATACATATACATTCCGCTGCCCATTGGCTCACAGTGGTTTTACCATATTGAGACAAGACAAGCTCTCCTTGCGTAGCAAGACAAAACAACTACCGTCCGTGTGCAGGGCGCTGCCCTTTGATCCTTAGGGAATAACTGGTCATACACCTCCTCACAAGGAGTATCCCTTGGGGGTGTATCGGCACAGTTTTCTGGTAGCGGAGCCCGGAAAGGGCCGCCCGCCTCACAAAGTCCGCTACAGCGGTCGGCCTCGCCGAACGCTTAACCAAGCGGATAAGAGGCAGCACAATGTCGAGCTCGCATAGCGAAGCCGACGGCAGTTCCCAATCCTCCGGGGGATATGAGAACGAAGAGACCTCCCAAGGTCCAGCTACTTATGTCGCACAGTCATATGCAACATCTGACCGCATGCTTGCATCATTAGGCATAACGCCTAAGATCGCGCCTGCCTATGATGGCACCACCTCGTGGTTTGAGTATGAACAGTTGATTGACGACTGGTGTGACATAACAACGCTGGATGACACCAAAAGAGGTCCGTCTCTCAAGACGAGGCTCTCCGGATTGGCCGCAGTACAAAAAGAATCACTTAACCGAGAAAGGCTTGCAGCCCCAGATGGAGTAGATTACTTCAAGAAGAAGATGCGTCCATTTTTCGTGAAAGGAGAACAGTACGTTTTCCTGTGGCGTTTCCTCGGCCTATTCAAGGCATGGAAGGGCAACCAAGACTTTGTGACTTGGATTGCTAAGTTTGAGATCGTGCTACAGCGCGTGAGAAACTCATGGATGGATCTCTTACCAGAGATAGTTCTGGAAGATGCCCATCCGGATTTCATGCAGGCTGTGCAGGCAGATCAAACCTTCATGCGCCTACAGGATGCAACCGAGAGAGACACATACGCCGCACGTTTCTTCGAAACATGGAACAAGGAACGCCTTGATAATCATCGAAGAGCGTTTCCTCTAAATGATAATCTCCTAGCTCTCCTCTTCCTAGTGCAGTCCGACCTAAATGAGATGCAACGTGAGAGGTTGGTAACAGCATTGACCAACCAAGGTTACCGAATTGAGACCTACACGTACCCTATAGTACGGCAGACCATGTTCGATCAGTTCTCAACGACCAGAACTGGTCTGCAGGATCCCAATATTCGGCACACTTCTCACAAGAAGGACCGCCATGGAAGGAGAGATCAACGCCGCAAACGCGGAGGTCGAAACTTCCTCATCCTCGATCAGGGTGAATACGACGGAGTCGATGGATTCTGGCTTCAAGACGAAGACACCCTTGAGGAAGGCTTTCTTGCCGCCGAGGATGAAGAAGCTGTCTTCTGGACAGTTGATGACCATGAGGCCTTCGTTGCAAGGAGATTCAAAAAGGGAAGAAGACCAAGAATGCGTCCCGGATCACCGGGAAGAGCAAAGGGTGGCAAGCGAAAAGGACGTGGCCGTTTTAGGTCATACCGCGGAAAAGGGAGAGCCAACCAGGCAGAACATGATCCAACTGATTCCAGCTATTTCGGTAAAGGTAAAGGAAAAGAAAAAGGAAAAGGTGGAAAAGGCAAAGGAAAAGGAAAGGACAAAGGAGATAAAGGAAGCTCCTTCAAGGGTACAAAATCAAAAGGCAAAGGTAAGGATACAGCTAAGTCTGCCTCCTTACAAGGAGACCAAACTGGGTCTCCACAGGCCTATGAAAGTTCCACCGCACCGAGCTGGGATTCATGGTATGAGGACAGTTATTATACTGACTCCAGTTGGAATTATGCCGCTTATGACGATCAAACGTCTTATACATACTATGCATCACAAGCCTCACGAAGAAAGACACGGAGAAAGAAGAGAAGAAATCAAGCAGGATCATCAGGTAGAGGCACAGATCCGAGCGCGCACCAAGAACCCGTGTACAACTCATCAGTGAGTTACGCGCCCCAGGTTTTTGAACCATCCGAGGGGCAAGGTGTGGAGACTGCAACAGCAGTGTTTCCGTTGCAGCACACCGTCCTATCTGCTCTCACCGAGCGGATCAATCTTGATAAGAGCCCTACCTTTGTCATTCTTGACTCTGGTTGTACTAGGGCTATGGGTTCCCGCTATGCGGTGAACAGGCTTATCAAGGCCGTGAAGCAACATGCCCCAGGCATGATTGATTTCACTTTTTCACCTTCGAACACGAAGTTCTCTTTCGCAGATAGTGAAACAGCTCTTATCAAGGAGCGTGTAACTCTATGGTTTAACACAACTCCAAGAAGAGATACAACCATAGAAGTTTTGGATCAGGGAAGAGTCCCCATTTTGTTCTCCATTGAACAGATGAGAAATCTAAGAATGACCCTCGAGTGTAGTCCAACAGCTGACCTAGCAACGTGTGAAGCTTTCGGTTTGTATAAAACCCCTCTTCCGATTAGTACCAATAACCAT